CGGATTGCGGATTGTTTTTAGGCGCGTCGGGCTTACGAACAGCTCAGCTTGTGAAACTGGCTTCTGTGCCTTTCTTTTTGCGGGAAAGCATCCAGTGATGGTTGGATGGTTGGTGTGGTTGGTTTATTAGGGTTTTCTGAACTTCGAGGAAGACACTTTAAGTCCTTAGTTGGTCGATTTTCCCGAAATTGGACCAGATCGGTGAAGGATCTAATCAGAACTTTTGGGGAGTTGGTCTCGGAAAATCATGGAAAATCTACTTTCTTGTAAAGATATGATACGTGACGAAATTCAGCCTTTTAAAGTAACCTTACGCAGCTGGCTGGCCTGGGCTGAGCTCGCTGGCCACTGCTCTCAGCATGTTCACTGACTCATCCGAAGATGCGCGCAAGACCTGTGAAGCATTGTGAAGCAAGATCAGGCAAGACCCAATAGCAAGAGTTGCCATCAGACTTATCTGGATATTAATTCCCCAAACAGTGTGGTAACACTAGGGGTTCTTACGGTAAGGGTTAAGGACGGGTGTCTGATCGGAGGTGCTGATCGAAGCGTCCGGCTAATTCGCTGCTATTTACAATACGTTCATTAAACCTCTGAATATTCGAAGTGCATTTCGACTGCGCAGGCTCGCAGAATCTGGTGGGCGCGGGCGGGTGCTCTTCGAGACTGCGCTCTCGTTGTGGTGCCGTGCACATTTTCGGGCTTGGTGATCACATTTCGTGGCAAGCGCAAGGGAAACCTCGTCGTTGGGTGGTCCAAAGTCGACTTTTCGTGACAGGGGCAGGAGATCGGAGCGGCTTTATGTTGATGTACAGATTTGATGCCTGACTGCACATATCAGAGCACATCTCAATGCTGTCAACACCTCAGCAATCGAGCTTCCAAACTTCAGCTCTGTCAACGACTTGAGGAGCATGGTCCTTTCCGCCCCTCCTCACCATCTCCACCGCCATCATCACCACCATCACCACCACTACCATCACCGCCATCACTACCATCACTCCCACAACCATCACAACCACCACCATCATAACCACCTTCAACGCGACCACCATCACCAGCGCCATCACCAGGATCTCCACCTTAATCACCATCACCTCTCTCTGGAGCCCAGTGCGCCTAGATCTCTAGACCTTCTGCTACTACACCTCTAGACCTTAGACAGGTAGACACACTGTTTGGTTTTCTGCCGGGATTAATGTTTCTTGTTTTCAAAACATTCCATTGGACTGGCATATTTACCTACATGGGAGAACATTTTTCAGTGATCAGGGACAGTCAATGTAGCCTTGGTATTCCAGTCCCAGTGCTGCAGACTTATCTCCGTTGACTCGTTTCTCCAACCGATCTTCGTTCGACGCACCGACGCACTGATCAACGCCGGCTACGGACTTACCTCGACCCACTCGAGGCGTGGGGAGTGAGGAGAGCAACGAGACGCGCCAGGCGGGGAGAGCAATGTGGGTCACTTGTTGCAGGGAATGATTTTGGATTTTGTGTGGGATTCATGGCCCTCAAAGATGAGGTTAGATAGATGGTATTATTTCTGCAGTTTCAAGTGTTTTGCCCCTGGATTTCGGAAAGGCTTCACCATGTTGGGCTAACTGCAGTGGTCTGGGCGTTTCACGAGGAACTTGGAAGACCCAGACGGACATGAAGACCTCCAACACTGCAAAGACCTTTGGACGGGGCTGAAGGCCAGGCCAGAATTTCAGACCCTTCCCTTCATTTTTGACCCCCCTGTTCAGAATCTTCGAGCGCGGAATTTTTGAGGGTGGCATCCAAATCGCCGGATCTTAGTCACTCCTCACGGTCCTCGCTGTTTCGGAGCCGGCATATCTGCTGCCGCCGGTCTGCCGCACGCCCGACCGAAGCAATGCCTCACCCAGGTGAGTGTCCTCGCCGCGACGAACCGCCCGTGGGATTTGGATGAAGCCCTGCGGAGGCGAAGATCCGAAACGCCTTTCTTCCGAAACGCAGTGCTTCAGTGCGGTTGGTGTCCTGGAGGTTCGAAGGGTTCGAAATGTCCGCCTTTTTTAAAGCAGGGAGGATGAAATCCTACGTTTGGGTGGTTGGAACCACCACAGAGCGACAACTGCATGGGGGGAATGGTCGGGATTTCATTCAGTGGGCTACAGGTTGTTCTAGGGTCTGACTCTGACAAAAGAGGCTTTTGTGATTTTTTGTGTGATGTTTTGTGAAAGTTCCAAAGGTTCTTTTCTTGAGTTCTAGATGGTGCATGGACGGGTGAATGGACAGGTGAATGGACCAAATCATGGAACCAAACAAGTACAGGCCTATTGATCACATGATCCTAGGGTGTCTTGAGTGGTTGTAGACAGTTTTTGTTGGAGTGGTTTCACTTGTGTAGTTGATGTACAGCGTTGGTAAATGTAGATTACCGTCTTTGAGCTGGCTTGAGATTATTGTACCTACATGTCTTGTGACAGCGTTGTGTTCTTCTTGCCTCTGCTGCTCCAAGCGGCGCGCAGCTTGTCATGTTACCAGTTGCCTTTCTTTGCAAGGAACTATCATAACAGCTTCAGTGAAGCCGAAGCAAGCTGTTGCTGCCGGTTTTTTGATATAGACACGGAAGGCTCTGACACCGAAGGCTCTGATTTTGTGTGGCACGTGGCAAGCTTTTGGGGGGTCTGATAGGCGGACGTTGTATATCGTAAGCAAACAGTTTAGCTGGGCAGTCGTAAGATCTGGTCACCAGCAGCTATAGTTGGAGCTCAGATCTGCCTGGCGGGGTCAGCGTCTGATGATTTGAACATCAGCTTGAACCGTTGCAACTGATCTTCCAATGGTTTTTACCTTCCCCCGCGGAACCGGTGCCCCTGCTCCGGGGGGGACAGCTCGGCTGCGGGGACAGGCGTTTGGAGAAGCGGGGGCCCCAGGTTGGATCACGTTGGATCCACTGTGTTGATCAATTGAAAGAGATGAGATGTCCCAGTTATCTGCTGTTGCGATCTTTTTCTTCTCCAGGGTTGTTTGTAGTAGATTTTGAAGACATTTGAACACTTTGGAAGATCTTGAAGTGTTGACAAAAACAATAAAGAGAACAAAGATGAACAAAGTGTTTCTCAGAAGAGCGCGTTGGAAGTCGCTTGAAGTCACTCTCCCTCCTTAGGCGGATCTACATCCCTTTGCCGCAAGACGAAGGCGTGCATTCACTCCGGTTCACACTTGACGGTGGGTATCACCATATGATCCCTATGTTGCTTGATCTTATTTGATCGACAATGATTTGTTCGTCAACAGGTCCTGAAGAAGATCCGCAAAGAACTAAGAACCTTCAATTCAAGCGAACTGGCTGGTTGAAAAGCCTACATACTCAGGTGCATCAACCCACAAAGATAGCTGCCGTAGCAGAATCTCAAGGGACCACCATAAGTTCGATAAGCTATCATAATCTATCATAAGCTGAGTGTTTGTTTCTCAGCGGTGGAACAACGACTGTACTGAATGTTCAAGAAGTTTCGCTTGAGGCAGTGACAGAAAGCTTGGTTGATAGACACATTCTTCACTGGTCAGTGTTCTCCTCACCAAAAACAATCAACTACAGCAGACTGTATACCCTTAGGGGTGCTCTAGCGGTGTTTTCCCAAACAGCGGCTTGTTCTAGGATTTTTTCAGCATTTCAGACCAACCAGTTTTCAAATGGTCAAACGGAAGGCTATAGGGAATTTAGAATATATATATATATACATATATATATAATATACATCGCTTCAACCGTCCGATGAGTGAGGAATATTATAAATATATATATATAGTATAACATCTTTCACACTCGGTATCTGGTCCGCCTCCAAGCGGTCCCGACCAGTCCACCGGTGACGCCCCCCACCCGTCACCAGTCCGCCAGGTCGGAAGCAGCTCTTCGAGATCAACCTTCGTGAGGCGAAGCGAGTGGATGAGACGGGAGGAGACGGGACGGTGAACGGCGGAAATCGAACCACCGCGTTTCGGAGGAACGTCCGGCTTGCGATTCGATGCGAACTGGTGGTGAAGGTTGATTTATATAGAAGACTCGTGTGTTGATGTGTGTTGTAAGAACCCTGCTGGAACCATTTGTGTCCATCAACTTTCTGAGTTGCTAACGGTCAAAGATGTAAGATGAGTGGCTTTGCGTCGAAGCGACGGCGCTTTGTCTCAAGGGAAGGGAGTGACCTGCAGCGTCGATGGACTGGCGTTTCACCTTGAAAGTCACATCGAGTTGCTGCCAGCTCTCTTGTTTTTGCAAGTGAGCCATGCCACTAACTAACTGGCACCAGTCACTCACTTATCACTAGCTTTGTTTCCACAAAAGAATACTGCTCCCGGCTTCCGTGATAAAGTGCGTTCCGTGAAAAAGATGAAAAAGGTTGTCAGGCAGCACATGCAGCAACCAGGCTTCAGAGGTCGCGCTCTTTTCACCACACAGCAGGCACTGAAAACTGGCTGGAAACCAGTGGTAAACTGGGGTGACCCTGCTTTGATTTGCTTCAGGACTTCTCAGTGTCGTGGAGAACATCTGTCAAAATGTGATCGGCAATTTTTGTCGTTGCAAGCCCTAGCAAGCCGACCTTGGGGTTTGGAACGCAGCTTTCGTTGCGGCAGGCTTTGGCAAAAAGCAACTTCGGTTCGGAACCAAACAGTCTATCTGGCTCATGTTGCCCAATGCTCTTTTCCAAACAGTCTAACCGGCTCATGTTGCCCAATGCTCTTTTCCATTTGCTTGCCAAGGCTGCACATATACAGCAGCTCTGAATTGACTGTTGCCGAGGTGCCCTTTTGGATCCTTTTGGACTTCTGAGGGTGCCTTTGGAAAGCTGGCACTTGGACTTGGGTTTTGCTGGAACATTTGCAACTTTGCAGCCAAGTCCCCAGAAAACACCAGATTGAAAACCTCGCCACTCTTGGCCCGTTTTCGCTGGCTTGCTCTTCCGTTTAGGACTTCGACTGGTTTGAGGACCCTAGTAGCCCTAGTAGGCTTGAGAGGTGATTGGAGGTGTGGGTGGCTCCTTTGGCGGTGGTGAACTTGTTGGCATGTTCTTATTGTATGGCTGGAGATTTGCAGGAGTGCATTTGAAGTGCGTTTGAGGTGCGTTCCAAGTGCCCTTTGAAAGTCAACAGCAAAACCGCAGGATGAGAATGCTGAGCCAATGCCAGAGCTCCCTGCATCTGAATCTCACACAGATGGACAGGGAAACATGCTGAGGAGGGTGAGGGGGTTTGAGAATGACTGAGCTGTTGGCATTGGTGGTCAGGCTGGTATGGCTGGTATACCGTTGCTCGTGGCTTGACGATGGAGATGGGCTGTTCTTTATTCCCTGCGCACATGTTTGAACTGGGTTTCTTGTGCGTTGCTTCGTGAATCCCAGCAAACAAAACAAGCCTTCGATCATTGCTCAAGCGTCCAACTTTGAAAGATGAAGACTGTTCACCTTGCCAGTCCGGGTCCCTCAACAAGAGGTCCCCAACAGGCACGACACGATCAGTTGATCCCTTTTCAACCACCCCAATGTAAACATGGGTCATACGTACATCCCCCTTTTCAACCACCCCAATGTAGGTCATTGAGGGTCTAGCAACACCTGTCCTGTCCTTTGCTTCTTTCCTTTGGCGCGAACGCCGTCGCCTCGTCGCCAGGTGAAGTTGGGCACCGACGTGGCCGTCGCTGCCCCTTGGAGCGGTCGGGAAGCGGTCGGACAGGGGTGGTCGGACGGGTGGTTCTCCACCGAGGGAGTCCAGAAAGTCGATTTGAAGCTACAAGGTGGCTTCTGGCTACTAGACTAGTAGCGATGCACCTACCTACTAATTAATAGCGTCCTAGCGATGCACCTTGCTACTAGTAGCTTCTTGCTACTAGTAGCGATGCCTATGTTACTAGTAGCTTCTAGCTACTAGTAGTAATGCTAATGCCCTTGTTCCTAGTGGCGATGCCCTTGTTACTAGTTGTTACTAGGGTGTTTGATGAAAGGTGACATAACATTTCAGGAACTTCCTGAAGACTTCGGCGGTTGTCCCCCAAAATCGTCGAAGCGGACTTCTTGGGTTCAGATGGAGCAAATTTTCAGGATCAATTCAAATCTCGGTTTCGACGATGTGTTTTTGACAGCTAGGTTGGAGGCAAGGTTGGCTTTTTTGCTGCATTGCCGCTTTTATTTGGGGTAGGACGTAACCAGTCTGTGATGCAATGTTTCTTCATGACCAAAAAGCGCACAGGACCGACCTGGCAAGTCTAGTTCCATCCCAGAAAACTGGTTCCTTCATGTTCCTTCCTTCGTTCCTTCTCCATCCATATGATATGATATGTATATATATATATATGTAATATATATATATATTGTGTTTTTTTTTCCCCTTGCATGTTGGTGTACATTTTGTTGGTGTAAGTTACATCCAATCCCCGGGTTCCCCGGGTTCCCCGGTCAAGTCGAGTCTTAGGGCTTGGTGGAGAAGACCAAGGGCTACAGCGGTGTGGAGCTCGATTCATGCCGACTTCGTTCGATTGGCGCGGATCGATCGGTCCTTCTTTTTGATTTTGGGATAGTGGGAAGCCAGAGTCATGGGATCAACGCGTTTTACAGTACTCGTTTCTTTTTTTTCACTTTAAGGATCTTAAGGCTTGGGAGATGGGGTGTGGGTCATTTTCTTTTTTTGTGGTTTGGTGCGTCAGTTTGAGAGAATCCTAGGGTTAGTTCCATTTTATTTCACCCAGGATCTTTTGTCCAAGAAGATGCATCCCATCTCATCCCTAGTTTAGATGCGGACCCCTTCAGCAAGACCGTCAGGAACTTGACCAGAATCTTGGTGCGCAGGGGGGGATGATCACGATTATTCTGTATAGACTCCTGTTAAGCAACTGATTAAACCATGTTCAAGACACAGCAGAAGATCATTATAATACTTGAACTCCTGTCCTAGCAACGATTAATGTTCAAGATATCTGAAACAGCTCTGAAAGACTCTTCCCAAGAGCCCTGTCGGACATCCACCGCCGTTCGTCACCTCATCGTCCGTCCAGGCGCCGATGTGACGAACGTGTGTCGCGAAGCCGCGATGATGGGCCTGGGCCCTGGCAGTGAGTAACGAAGAGGTAGATACAGCGGGATCCCCAGGTGACTGAGGGCTGATGACATGTTGGATCACGTTGACTCGATGTAAATTGCCTTTAGTATATGTTAATATTGTTCAACTATTCAACTATCTATCACTGGAGGGATAGAGTGTGGCTGGGCGTTCAATGAAGATCAACCCACAACTCACTTGAGTCAATCTCTGAGGACTCCGGCGGCGCATGGCCAAAGCGCGACAAGAAGGAGTGGTTCAACGGGCCGCGCGCTTGTGGTCGAGTCACCTTGGCAAAACGGAAGGACATGTTCAACTAGCTGCTAGCTGGTAGTTTGGGGGGAGCAATTTCGGAGCCTGTGGTATGCACATTCCATGATATTCTCCTTGCAAGCAAGGCCAAGGAGCTACAGGGAGTTCCCGTTCTCCACTTTTTAGGCAAGCATCAATTGTATCGGTGTTTGCATGTATATCTTAAGCTGAACCCCTTGGGCAGCCAAAGAAGGGGTACACTGCCAAGTGGATCCCTTTCTGTCTTTGCTTACTGTTACAACCGTTGATGAAACTGATTAGGAGAATCCTGGTACCGCCATCTTGCCACTTGGAAGGGTCGTAGGATGAAGATTCCACAGTGACTATTCTGGAAGACCTGCAACCTTCAACTTCACAGGCAAGAGCTTGGTTGAAATGCACAACCTCAAGCAGGAGGCGGGGGCTGTGGCGGCACATCAGGCCTTCTAATCGAAGAACCCTAATGCCATCCACAGCGATCAGTCAAGAACATACAGAGTAGACGTTCTTCGTTCGATTCAAAGGCTTCAACCCCAAACTGTCCTACACCTCTACATACCCCTACACTACACAACTACTTTCGAAATTTTTTAAAATGAAGACGAAGAAGCAGCTTCATGACATATATTGTCAGCACCACCTCGGAGTGGAGTCCGCCCACCAGTCGACTCGATTGGGCTTCCTGCTCGATGGATCTGGATCGTCCGAGCTTTCCCTCGTTGCTTTCGGCCCTCGTTTCGGAGGGCCGATGAGGGCCGCAGGGCAAGGCTTTCGGCATCGGCTCCGAACCTGGAGGAACGCCCCTTTCTCACCTCGCACGCTCACCTCGCCTCCCAGACCTTTTGAACATTTGAAGGTCAAGCTCCGTGGACTCATGTGGACTCCATCATGTAACAAACCCATCCGAAGACAGACTGTGTTGCTCCTTTTTCTACTACGGTTTTCCTTTTTTATTTACGATCTTTCCACCTTGCTTCAGGTGGATGTGCCTGTGACGCAAGCGGACTTCTTCGAAGCGATCCACAATGTCAACCGCTCTGTAGGCACCTCCGACGCCAGTCGGATCCACAGAGTCCGGGGTACCAGGACGTTGGGTCCATGAAAGTTGGGTCCATTTGTTTCTCTCTTTGATATGAGCTGGTCAGATGCCTGGTTTTTCTGCTTCAAGTATTTAAATGATGTTAAATATAACTTAAACACCGGGGTGTTAAAGAGCGACATGGTGGGCTGTTTATATCTAGGGAATTGGCACTCAGATGTGCGAACCATGAACCCGACTTCCAGACCGCCATTTTCAACCACACTCGATGAATTCGACGACCTCCCCACAACCGACCATGTGAACTCCAGTTTCTGAGACACCAACACACAGAATTGTGCATCAGCCATGTCGAATATTTCCACACCATCCTTCAGACTGGAATAGTCACATAATACTAATCTTAGTTACATACATCTTCCCCCATCCAAATGAGCCATCCATGTGACATGCACAACTATTCCAATCCCATGGATGCTTTGGGTATGCTTTTGTATGCTTCTGTTCGTTTCCTCCCGCCTTTCAACAGGCCGAACTGTTCGGGTCGTTTCAATCCACCGATTTGTCAAAGCCTCCCGCACCTTCGGGGTTTGCAAGAGTTTCCAGCGGCAGGTGTGCCCACCAGACGAAGGGAGCATATATATATATATATGCAAATGTGCGCTTATAAGTTTATACAATGTTCATGTGTTTGTTTCTTTGTTTGCCTGTTTGCTTAGTGCGTGCGCAGCTCGTTTATTGTTTTCGGTTTTTCTCAAGCTAACGCTGACTTGATGGTCTTCACGCCAGCGACGTTCGGGCTCAAGGTTTTGATTGTGGCGAGACGGATGAGGCGTGGAAAGGCTTGCTTCAAGGGGAGGGAGGTATTGGGAGAAGGCGAGGACGTGCTGCTGGATCTCTGTAAAAAGGTCACTGAACGGAACGTTGCAACCGTGTTGCTCCCTGAAGTCTTGCGCTCCAAACAGAAGCTTCCTCAAGTCTTGAAGCTGTTCCACAAGCTGAACAAAGGCAATCTTGCATTTGTCACCTTGGAAGCACTGAGGGAAGATGGGAACATGAAGTTGAAGGCTTCCAACTACACACTTGGAATCACAACATGTGCTAGGTCCAAGCATTCGAAGCGAGCCTTGGAGTTGTTTGAAGCGATGCCCAAGGCTAGAGTTCAGCCAAACGAACTTAGCTACAATGCAGCCATCAGTGCTTGCGGGAAGGGCGGGCAATGGCAAGAAGCATTGAAGTTGTTTGAGGCCATGCACACCGCCAACATTCAGCCCAGTGTGATTAGCTACAGTGCGATTATCAGTTCCTGTGAGAAGGGTGGTCAATGGCAGCAAGCACTGAAGTTGTTCCAAGCCATGACAAAGAGCGACCTTCAGCCTAATGTGATTACCTACAGTGCCGCCATCAGTGCGTGTGAAAAGGGCGGGACATGGCAGCAAGCATTGAAGTTGTTTGAAGCCATGCCCAGGGCCAAAGTTGATCCCAACGTTTTTAGCTACAGTGCGGTTATCAGTGCTTGCGCAAAGGGTGGCCAATGGCAGCGAGCATTGGGGTTGTTTGAGGCCATGCCACAAGTCAATATTCAGCCCGACGTTATTAGCTACAGTGCGGCTATTAGTGCTTGTGACAAGGGTGAGCAATGGCAGCAAGCATTGACATTGTTTGAAGCCATGCCCAAGGCCAAAATTTATCCCAACGTGTTTAGCTACAGTGGGGCCATCAGTGCCTTCGAAAAGGGTAGTCAATGGCAGCAAGCACTGCAATTGTTTTATGGCATGCTCGCGGCTAAGATCCAGCCCAGTGTCATTAGCTACAGTGCAGTCATCAGTGTTTGCGAAAGGGCTGATCAATGGCAGCGAGCATTGATGCTTTTTGAGGACATGCCCATGGTTAACATTCAGACTGATGTGATTAGCTACAGTCTAGCCATTAGAGCATGTGAGAAGGGGGGTCGATGGCAAGAAGCATTGAAGCTGTTTGAGGCCATGCCTCAGGCCAGTATTCAGCGGAATGTAATTAGCTACAGTTTGGCCATCAGTGCCTGTGGGAAGGGCAAACAATGGCAGCACGCATTGAAGTTGTTTCAGGACATGCCTCAGAATAACATTCAGCCTGATGTGGTTAGCTACAACGCCCTATTGGCAATGTACACTCCTGGCATTGGCAGCTACCTGTTTCGGGAATCAACAATTGGTCACTCGCCCAAGTCCGAAGCTTCCAAGATTGACCTGCACGACTTCCCCGAGCGAAGTGCTCACGTGGCTTTGTGCCATTGGTTGTCAACTGCAGTCGCCCAGAAGCTTCAGCAGTCGCCCAACAGCTTCACCTGCCTCGTCGTCACAGGACATGGACCGTCTGGCACGGAGCTTCGCGATGCGGCCTTGGAGCTGTTTCGAACCCTGCGGCTGGACGCGTCACCTGTGCCAGAGACTCCGGGGTGGATTCGCTTAGTTTTGACGAAGGGGGACCTGCCAACGTTGCGTGTGTTGGCTTTGCATTGGGGTAAACGGAGCCAAAAAACCTCGTTCGCAGAAGACCCTCCGACCTCCTGCGACCTCCTGCGCGGCATTTGACAGTGGGTTTGAGTGAGTCTTAAAGTAAGATCTCCAATGACTGGGTTTGGATTCTGGATGTTTTATAAGTGTTTCATCCTTGTGGGCGCTGCCTCAGCATATGAGTTATATTATGTGGGAGTCATATGAGTTCAGTTATATGATGTAATGCCTAGTTCACTGAAAAATTCTTATGACTGCTTGAGTGTAACATATGAGTCATTATGTGTCTCATGCCACATGAGTGAAGTCAACTTCTGAGGCCCCTCCTCTTCAGAGTGTGTATGGGACCGTAGTCTCATTTCATTTCAAGCCACGCCCAAGTCAACAAGTGAAAGACTCCTTTAATTTGTTCAGAAGTGCTCCAAAGCTGGTTCATAAGACTTCACACCTTTTCTTCCAGTGCCCAGAAAGGACCTTCGATGACCCTTGTGGCAACACACACCTGTCTTTGGGAGCGAAGCAAATCGAACTTTCCAACGAAGAAAGAGTTGCACCAACCTGTAGGATGCGATCACGGTGATCACTTTGTTCTTCTTAATGCCATCAGGGCTTCCATGCCCATGTCTTTCATGGACACAAACCTGAGCTTGCTCTCCAACCATCTTCCGAATCTGAGCAGCACAGCCGACAGCTTCGCAACATCTTTCGGATTGGAACACACCCTCCGTTGTACCGATGCGCTTCGTTTTTGCCGCACCGAAGAAATAGTGGGGACCACCGTTAAGACTCGGCACCGAAGAGACCCCGAACCGCCGGCGACGCGGGAGGCAACGAAGATCTTCAGCGCTTTGCCGATTGGATGAAGGAGTTCGGCAGCATCTGACCGCGGAATGGGGCCCGGAACAGTGGCATCTGAGCGGATTGAAGTGGCTGAAACTGTGATTGTGAAGGAAGTACTGCAGTCAACTGCAGTCAACATGTGAAGTGAGAACAATGTGCTTTTTGGTTTCGCCTCCTATGTTTCGCCTACTCTAAGGACAAGTTCTATCAAGCCTATCAGACTATCGTTCAAGAGTGGAAGAGGCCCTCCACATCCGCGAAGGAGGGTTAGAGGTCAGGTGTGCTTGCTTGGCGAACATTGAACATGTCCAGACAGTACCATTTGACAGACAATCAGACTTTGGAAACGGAGCAAATAAGACTGTCTGGCAGACGAGAAGACAGTACCATCTGTGAACATTTTCAAAGTCATTGACTTTGGACGGATCCACCGACAATTAGACTCTGTGCCGCCTTGCCGCCCCTGTCAGCCTGTCGCGACAAGCCGCACGTAGCGAATTCAGCGAATTCGAATTCGGGGTGTACAGACGCCCAGATCGGAGCTCGATCATTGAAAGAGATGGAACAGAAACAGCTTTGGCACGGGCCAGTTCATCACCCCAAACTCTAAGTGTTCAAAGGAAGCATACGTACTTGAGTCTAGAGATGATATGAGGGGTGCCCATTTCAATTCCTCTTGTCATTGGTCCTCATGGTCTAACACTTGCCCATGGATCTCTTGGGCGTTCTGGGGTGAATGGTGGTATGTGGATGCCTGTTGTTTTCTTGTAAGCACCGTTGGCGCAAGAAACATAGAACATGAGAATTCAGGACCCCTGGCCACTGGCATAGTAAGTCCTAAAGAGCACACAGACCCAGTAAGTTGGTTGATGCTTGCACAAAATGGATATAGTATAGTATAGTGTAGCATTGTTCTGGTCTTCTTAGCCACATGTACCATCCACCCTTGATGCCGCTTGCGCCCCCCACTTGAGACTGGCTTGCCCACAAGTGTACTTCTTTCTGAACAGAAACAGCAAAATAGACACACTCAAGTCCAAGTTTTGAACACCCTTTCCCATGGTTGAGCTGATTATAGATTCAACCAGACAATCAACTTGCAACCCATCCACTAGATCCTCGTCGTTCACCGGAAGACTAGGTTATGACTGGACATCTCTATACATAAAATCTTTGAGATTCTCATGTTGACTCTTTTTTCCATGGGGATCCACCTGCACACGGTGACCCGGTGCTTCGTAATGGGCCCTTTTTCAGAGTCTTCTTTCGCCTCCATCGCAGCAGCTGTATTGGCTCTCCTCGAGTTCAGCCACGGGTTTGGTCAAGGGGTGAAGGCGTGGAGCTCGGGCTCGTGGAGGGTGGCAAGTTGGAACTCCTTCCGTTCCCGACGGCTGAGATGAGATGATCTTAGAACATTGTCCAAGTATGGAGGGGCGTTTTTAGCTTGTTTCTATCCAAGCTCTGAAAGAGAAGCCTTGAAATCATTGCTTTTGTGGAAGGGAGATTGGGCGAGATTTGGCAAGAGTGACATCCCTGCAGTCTCAATGCACTTCCAAGATCTGCCAACGTGAAGAGAACTCTTCAAACTCAAAGCAGGAATCATGCGTGTCATCTAGGAGGTTTAGGGGTGGCTTTAAGCAGGGTAGGTCCCCCCAAGTCCAGATTGCAAAGGAGTGGCTTCACATGCCTGTAGTTGTAGCTGCTGGAAGACATGGTTTTTGCAAGTTGCGAGTCCTTTAGTCCCATGCAACCCACACATACTAAGCAGCAGCCCCTATGGTGTGGGGGGGGAAAACCCTCGTGAGGCGGTCGTTCTGGCTAAGCTTCGGCTCGTCCAGGCGAAGCTTTCTTTGTACCAAAAAGATGGCTGGTCGATTGTGCCTGGGCAGAGCAACGACGACTTGGGAAGATGAGGACATGGGTGGAAGAAAAATAGTCCAAATCCCATTGGTTTTGGGGTCTCCCTATTAAGATACATACTGCACATACCCAAATGGCTGGCTGCATCCTAAATACCCCAAAGATCACTGAATTCAGATATGTTTCCCTTTACCGAGGACTGGAGGCCATTTTGAAGGCTGTACTGTCACCAGCTAGGGTCTGCGCTTTCTTTTAACGGTCAGGTCATTGACATTGCTGTTTCAGATGTGCAGAAACACAACGGATTTGTTGACTTGTGGCCTTGCGAGCCAGCCAGGTATTCGACTATCACTTAGCAGTGAGTTGCAAAACCCGTTGTATGGTGTGACCAAGTGTTACGCCCGCCGTAAACCTGCCAAGGGATTCAGATGGATAGATAGATCGCTGAAGGGTGTGTAGCATCCAATGCATTCAGAAAGACGTGTATTTGTTGTGTGTTTACCGATTTGCATACATGTTGCAGATATGGAAACTCTAGATGATGAGAAAAAGCCGAGGTTGATCCTGGCGGCAGCTGCTGTGGTCTCTATCTCAGCCAAAGATTCAAGATGTTGGTTGGCATCCAAAATGGAACTTGTCGCCCTTTGCCTGTGATTGCGACCTCATCTTGTTTTGAATTCACTGGGAAGCTCACATCGGTCTTCCCCCTATGGGTCCAAGAAGACACCGCTTCGCGACCTACAGTGCGGGCAGCTACCCAACCAGCCAAGCAAGCAGATGGATGTGTCTCAGTAAGTAAGACCTCGAAAGTAAGACCTGAGAAAGTCATTCAGATAGTATATAAGACCATGATTTGTTTAATAATCACTCAGAAAGTAAGACCCATAAACCCGCACGTTCGAGTGAGTTTGTCCAGTTTGACCAGTGGGGTTTGGATGGTACCTATGGTTTGGGCTATAAACATATCAATGGCAATGGAAGCAACCAGAAGCAAGAAAGCATGGAATCAATCTGTCCATCAACCCATCAGTCCATCCAGGTATTGTCTGGGGAGGAAAACACATCTTGAATCAGATATTGCCCTCTTTTGTGAATGTTTTGACAATCCAGGTATTGTCCATATCCAGACACTATCAGACACTCCATGTATGGTATATTTGACAATTGTCCATATCCAGACACTCATGTGTGGTACATATGCCTACATTGACACCTAAAAACACCCCTAGGTTGTCAGATACACCATATATTTATGAAGAACTTTCACCAAGCTTGGTGAACAAGAAGAATCCCTCCTGAGGTGGTGATGCCAATGGCTTTTGTTGGACCCCAGGCGGGCGAGATGGGAGCTTTGCCTTGGTGGACGGTTTGTTGCTTTTGGAGCCAGCACGTTCTCAGCACGTTTCTTAGCTCATGTTCCTTGGATTCCCTCCTCAGGTCACACTAGACAGCCTTTTGTATGCGGAAAAATCAGTGTAGTCCTGTGATCTTAGCTTTGAGAGAACCATGTGCTATTGGTCTGTATGTCCATAGAGGCTGTTTGCCCGACTGTCCGATGTTTGGTCAAGGCTTCGTTCGCCCGACCCTCGCCACAGATCGAAGTTGCCAAGTAACAGTGAAGAGGATACTCTGACTGTGATAGATGACAAAAGACATTCAAGGTGATCAGAGAACTAACACACTTGATGAGTACCTAGTGTGGGTCTTGGGGAACATGGTGATCCTCATCACTTCTTAGAGAGGCTGCTGCACCAATGTCCTATGTCCGGTTCTGTTGAGATGGGACCTCTTGTTGAGTCGCCTTCACAGGTTTCTCTGCGTCTCCGGCTGCTGAACGCAGCCAGTGTCTCCAGACGCTGAAGAGCCAAACTACCAACATGACCGGAAGTTAACAGAAAAAGGGATCATCGCCAACGAAGACCAACCGGCCAACTAGTAATAAGACCAACACATTCTTAGCCCAAACAGCAGAATCATAGTAGATACTTATAGTATAGAGGATCAACACAGATTTGGCAACCAGACTTACAGGCATGCAGATGTCACGAACTCTAGTCCCTAGCAAGGTCACCACTCTGATAGTACATCAAAGTCAAAAAGAGATTTGGACACCTTCGAATCGAGATATCGATTCCCATGAGACTTACCAGATGACCGACAGTGCCTTGCACTGGAAGCTGGGATCTGTGATCCTTTGGCGGCTCGGCTATCAGCTATCGCGTCGAGGTGACGGAACTTCTGGTGGTACCTGCTGGGAAGGATTGTAACTGCTTGATTGGTGGGTGTCCTAATCACGTCGTGTATCTCTAAGATTGCTAGAAAAATATGGACTGGTATTTAAAGAGAGTTCGGAAAGAAGCATCTCCCGTTCCGTCCTAAAAACCCACACAGTGTCTTGTACGATGTCGCGACTTTTTGGGTGGTTGGCATGGGGGACCATGCTTTCGGAACAGATTTGGAATTATTCAAACAGATGCGCATGTGCAATTCCCTTTTTGTTAATTTCCCAACAACTGCCCATACATGAAATGTGTAGTATCAAAAACTTCTCAAACCAGTATATGTATCGGCTTGCCAAATCATTTGAATCAGTGTTCGTTGAGCATCCACACGTGAGTTCTTCCAGCCCCTTCGCACTTCTTACTTCGCCCCAGTCTTCGCCCCTGGGATCGATCACCTGGACCGAGGTCGCTCGTTTGGCCGACGCTCCATGCGGCCAGCTTGCCGTTGGCTGGTCTGTGCGGCTTTCAAGTGAATGGCCGACAGCGACAGCGGCCGCTCGGAGGAGACTGCGGGCACTACACGTGCAAACGAGTCGTGGAGATGGCGAGATGGTGGGGACTGAGGAGATGGAGAGATAGAGACTGAGTCCATCTGAAGTAGGTCCTTTCAAGTCCTGACAAGCACAAGTTCTGAGTATCGGCCTCACAGTATAGCCTTTCACCACTCGTGGTCGGGTATGGGGTGAACTTGGGAGGAACTTGGTAGAACTATATAGTTAGTTTGTATAATTGACTGCGGCTAGCTGCTAGTGTTGATAGCATTATCCAACTGTTGTTCCAACAAGAGTTTGCATGTCACATTATTTCGGAGGTTCTAAGATCCATGGTTTGGTGTCGGAGTGCTCCCCAGTGGATTACTATATGTCTCTCATGGAAATGCAGCCATTTTGCGGTTGGCAGCAGGGTGGCCAGTTGGTGGCACCGTTCCGACCGCACCTCGCTGGGCACATGCGACAAGTGAGACGTCCCCTTTTGTGCATTTTCTGGTTGGCCGTGCCTGTGGCGTATGTGCCGGCGTGGTGGCGCAGGGGATGGCCCAGGGGCAGAGTGGGTAGTTTGGCGGAAGCCGAGCTGTTATCAGAGCTGGCAGTTCTGCTGATGCCTCGAGCAGACGTAGGGGAGCTTTTTCGGAGCTTTCCTGCGACGAAAGGGTGGCGTGGGCATTCTTTAGAGCCTGATTTGGCAGCATACGGGATACTCAAAGACAGGAATGCCGCACTGTTTGTGGAATATGATGGCTTTTGGAGGCATGGGGAAAAGGAAGGCATTGTGAAGGACCAGAAGAAGAATGAAGCATTGCTAGCTTATGCGCCGGAGGGTTCATTTGTTGTCCGCATAACCCACACTCTTCGCAAACCACTGGTGGTCGGACATACTATTTGGATCACTGCGCAAACCTGGCGTCAAGGGGATGAGCTCTCTCTTGGAAAGGCTTTACGGAGCACCCTAAAACTGTTGGCCACTGGACTCCGACAGGTCTTGCGGCCGAGTGTGTTGAAGCTGATTCATCGAACACTGACAAAGGATCCATGGAGCTTTTCTGTGAAGGGCCAGAAGTTTGTCGGCAAAGCTGCGGCTTTAGCAGGAAAGAACTCAAGTGCAGAGGTTTCAAACTATTTTGCTGCACAAGGCTTCTGTCAGCAAGATATTGAGTTGATGAATCATGTGATCCAGTTGCACAGCCAATCCATCGAAGGAAATTTGGGACCCAAAATTCAGTGGCTTCTTGAATTGGGGCTTAGCAGTCAGCAACTTGCAAAGGCAGTCGCAGCTCGTCCGCAAATTCTTGGGTACAGCATCGAGCAAAATTTGAAGCCCACTG